TTTTTTTTTTTTTTTTTTTTTTTTTTTTTTCTTAACGCGAATGTCGACAGATTTACTTACTTTGGCTGCCAATTGTTGACTCTCTTAATAAATAACCACTTTATAAATATCTCGAGTCGTTGATCGAAAAGAACAAATAATTTTCATTAGTAGTCGGAGATGTCAGTATGTTGTATTAAATCATTGTTTCAATTTCACGATCCCTTACTCGTCTTTGGTTTCGTTGTTGGCCTGGCTTCTTTCTAAGACTTACCAATACTGAGTTTTTGCTGTCAGATTTATTTTTCGAGAATTTTCCTACCTTATCATGTTCTATGCCAATATCTTAAATAAGGAAATAAAAACTTTTGAAGTTATATTTATCAAAAATATCTGGAGGGATCAAGAACGAAGATCTTGATTAATTTTTCTTCATATGATGTTTAAGCGTATTTATAAAGTTTGCAAATATTCCGTAGTAAAAAAGAAATAATTCTTTTAGAATGCAATGTTTTAATAAAACATACAGAGCCGTTGCTAATGGGAATATTGTATGCATGTGAATAGATACATCGACTCTGATTTATCAATTTAAATCGCTAGTTTCAATTTTCTTAAGCAATTGTTGATGTATTTTGCATGGCAAAACAAGAGAAGTTAGTTGAATCTTCCATTGTAACGAATTATTGCGAGAATAACGTGATAATTGATAGTTCCTTGATTGATCGATCAAGTTTAATATCTATCGGATTTAAATATTGTTTCACACGCACAGAAATGAAGAAAAGACTCAAGTAACTTTTGTCTTTTGTACATGTACATTATGCATCAATAATGTCTGTTTGAAAAATAGTTAAAAAACAACTACAAACCATTCCGGCAGATGAGATATCAAATTGATTGACATTTTCTTTTCCCTCCTTCAAGACGAGTACAATCTAAATCCTGGTTTAGAATGGGAGGACGAATTTACAGGTAGGTAATCCTCTCTAAAAACGATTCACTCTGCCTAATTATTTCACGGACATGTCTGTAATTCTTACTTTACACTTTCACGAAGTTGCGTTTAAAAATAATTCTCTCACGTAACTTTCTTATATTGTAATTTATCGTCTTTGCCTTATATGCACTGAAAGGAGGGAATTGTCGCTGGCGTTTACAAATTGCTTGATGAGTTGCTTGTTTTTGCATTTGTATTTCTTTTTTCTTTTGTTTTTTATCCTTTTCTTTACATTCTATGAGATTTATATAAATTTGCTTTATGTACCGCGCATGCAGAAGTTGAAAAGTTGTTTATAGCATTGTTTTATTTTCTTTTTGCGATAAATTTTAACTTTGTAAAACTACGGACATCTAATGATTGACGTTACGGCATTTAAGATTTGAAACTTCAGTCAAAATTTCGTTATTATAAATTTACTAGTTCTCTTTATTATTTTGAGAATTGGAATAATAGATTTATAAATTTTGTTTGTTGCAATTGTCGTAGATGTTATAAATTTGTACGGTACTGCATGAGACTTGGGAAGTTGCGTTAAATCTCCACTCTGTGCGCACTGGTTCTTATCGTTTTATTATTTAAAATAAATTTAATTACGCGGCTGTAAACCCACTTCTCTCCGACTTCAACGACGTTAATGAATTCTTCTCACAATTTATTGCTTAATTTTTAAATTACAATCTTATTTACACAATATTGTTATTAACGATATAAGAGAGAGAGATGGTAAAACTTATTTCATATAACATATATCCTAAGCTCCTGTTGTAAACTGCATAATTGACAAATATGGGTAAAAGGAAAATGGGTAATCTCTCATTACTTATAACACAATCACGTTTGTCTTTTCTACATTTCGCATTTTCCATACATTCCATTTCACCGATATTGCATGCCAACAATAAAGGGTGGAGAGACACGATTGAGACAATAACGTCAAATCTTTAGAAAACATAAAACTGATGTTTATTTATGATAGTCCACCAACAAGCAGTCCACCTTTCGTGTTCATATCTAATTTTGCATGTTATCTAGGCTCACATTCGTAACTTTGTAATTTTATTTTTATATACGAGATATTATTCCTTTTAGCATGAAATATTCAATATGGCATTTTACCAATGCTTTTTTTTTTTTTTTTTTTT